TTCGAATTTCGCATTTTTTTCGCGGCGGGGTTACTGGGTGGTGGGCGGCGACGCACAGTGATCTCGACACCATCATCGGCGAGGATGAGGGCCGCGTAGGAAGAAGCGAGCTCGGCGGTCGACATTGTGACTGGTTTGGGGGGTTTGCGACTGAAGGTGACTTCGCGGATGTTGATAGAAAATTTGGAGTTGGCTCGATATACGAAGTCGGGAAAAGTGAAGTGTGGGCAAGCCCTGAGGTCGCTTTGGTCAAGCCCTGCCGGTACGTACTGCCTATGCTGTTAACCAGCGCGCCGAGGCGGGCAGTATGGGCTACTGCAATATTTGATGGATCTCTCTCGCTTGGGCGAATCTGAGGTCTCGGATTGGGTGCAGCGAGCAAGACACGCTAGAGCGCTTTGGGAGTTCTTCAGTGGCCGTGATTGGCCATGGTAGCGAGCCAATGGAAGCGCCGATCGACGGCCTGGGCATGCCTGCCTCCGCTGCGTCGGTGTCACTTGGGTCTGGCCCCACCTCGGTGCCTCGATTTGACTTTCCCAGCCGTGGCCGTACCAATGCCCCCCCCACCTCTATCACAAGCGTTGACGTGCTTCCATTGGATTCCGGGCCAGCTGGGTGAACCTGTGACGAGCATCATCCGCATTTACTTACATACCTCTGCGCGGATGCCACGGCAGAGCTCTTTGTCACAGATATCTTACCAATACAACTCGGGTCTTCCCCAGTTTACTGAATACTTCACGCCATCCCCATCCACAGACGATATCGGCATTCGGACTTTAGCTGCCGTCAACCTTACCTAGAGAGCCCCGCTACTGTGCTTCCTTGAATGTCTGGTCATTGGCAGACCTGCAAGGGTATCGACATCCAACTCGCGAGCTGCATGCTTTGGCCGTCCATGATCGCGAACAGCCGTCCTTCTCCCATATTTCAGATCTACAACCCTCCCAGCAACCAGCGCCCGTCGTAAACTACGTCACACGCGATGGACACCCCTACCTGCCCTCCCCCGCGGGACGCTCGCGAAAAGGAGATCCTCGAGAAGCTCGTTTCCATCCGCGACCGGCTACAGCTGCTGAAGCAAGACCGCACCAACTACATTCGCAGCCAAGATGTCATCCCGCTGTACGACGAGACTATCGAGCAGGTTCGCGAGCTCAACGAGTTCCGGTCTGCTGACCGAAGGGAGGAGAACAGAGGTAATGCGCTATCGCACCCATGTGCGGGGTCAACGGCTAACCTCGCGCTACAGTGGACAGAGTGTTGGAGAGCTGCTTCCAACTCCTGTCGCTCTTCTTCATGACCATCGGCCGAAACAACGAAGCTCCTGCCGCCTATGCCCTGACGTCTACCATCAGGAGACTCCTCGATCACCTTACCGAAGTCGACCTATTCTCGTCCAAGGACCTCGAGAGCATCTCTCACACCGTGAAGAAGCTTGCACACAATGTCAAATCCACCGAGAGCGATTACTCGCCATACCTGATTACTCTGCTGTCTAAGAGACTAGAGCTTTGCGAGAAGTCATTGGAGCATCTCCAGAAGCGACTGGACCGCCTTGAGGATCCCCTCCCCAAGACGTACGAGAAGCTAATTTCGATCCTGAGATCGATGTCATTGGCCAACACTCGAACGAAGGTATGTGTGTGGCCTAGCGATATCGAACAATATTCCTGACATGGCCGCAGTTTTCCCCGTCCGAGGTCCAGAAGCTTCAAGTCCAACTGCGCGAAATCGGCGAGAAGAGAAAGGATGGCAAGTTCGTGAGCGACGACGGCAAGGTGCCAGCCGGAAGTGACGAGGTTGCCGATCTCTTGGAGAAGTGCCTCAAGTGGTCGGAGATCGTCCTGGAGAGGCAAGGCGTGATACCCGAGCCGTTCAAGGCAACCTACGACATTCTTGTGCGAATCCGAAACGAGCTGGAGAAACTTTCAATCACACAAGCATGGTCTCTTCGCGAAGCCGATTTGTTCGATTTCCAAAGACAGCTGGACAAGATTGACGAGAGTCGAGTCGACGGAAACTGGCTTGATGATCAAGGCAAGCCAGCAGAACTTTATGTTCAGCGTGTAAGTGCTTATGAGAGGCTTGGCTGCATCGGAACTGACGCTCTTGGCAGACCCTTCTGTACCTGATCCGAAGAAGTTACGCATACGTCTACTCCCTGATGATCTCGTCAGAGCCCGTATCTGAGGCTCTGCTGCCCATCTACAACCAGTTGCAAACGCTCAAGAGATGTCTGATTGAGGTGAAGAACAACGGTGGCGTCCAGTCGGTCAGGGAGCTATACCCCTACAGCATGAAGGTGTGTGTTTCGTCGACATATTGAAGTTCCGACTGACCAAATGCAGCTTCATTCTATCGACAACATGCGCCAAGACGGCAAGTTCATGATCAACAACGACATTCCGGAAGGCCAGGGTAGTGTCACCGAGCTTCTCGCGGAGTGCTTTGAGCTCAACTACGAGCTTAGGGTTGCGGCTGAGGAACAGGCCGAGGCCTAGAGATGACTTGTTACGTTGCGAATTTTGGCGTACGGAGAAGGATTTGTATCGTTTGGGTTGGTCCTTGTATTCATTTACTGGCCGCGTCGGACTGCCAGGAATCAGGATGACAGTCTGAGGTAATGGGAAGATAAACGGGACGAGGCAAACTCAAGTGTACTCAGTTATGAACCAATGACATGCGTTTGGGAAAGTTCGACCACGAGCGGGAGCTCGAGCTTCTGCAGAGTTCAGATGGCATCTCAGCTGCCCGTGACAGTGCGCGTCGTGATGACAGAGTCCAGTAGTATTTGTCTGTGAGGGGTTCAAACCGCCCCTGTGACATCATATTGGAGAGAGCCATCCAGGTCTTGGAGGTCTTGGAGAGGTTGCGGTTCATTCATGAACGCCTCAGAGACTCTAGCAGAGTAACTCCTAACAGTGACACATAGGGAACGTGGCAGTTAGCTCAAGACCACGACCCAACAATTCAAGGACTTCGTGCGGGACCGGGCCGATTCTGCGACCTGCGTGGAGCCGGATGAGCTTCCGCACCGTCTGGCGGCTACCATTCCGATCCAGATCTAGTCAATGCCATCATTCGGAAAAGAAACAGAAAGACAGCAGAGAAGAAGTTGGGCAAGCAGGCGGGGGGCATGTCTCCCCGACGGTGACAGCGAGGAAGGTCAAAGCGAGGCCGAGATGTGTGATGAGCAAAGAGCAAAGCTCAAGCTCAGTCCATCGTCCCGCCCTCCTCTGATGACTCTTACCTTGGCAACTGCTTCATGTGAGCAAAGTCAAGTCCCCGAATGATACCATCGGACATAGGAAACTCCCACAGAAGCAAGACCAGAGCTCCATCGCCCATACATCCCTGCCCCCAGCACACACAGACATTCCAGCCCCAACACTGGGGAACCAGCGGGGCCCGCAGTGCAGCGAGCTGGCTACAGTCGGCTGCCGTCGCACCTCGCGCACTCGCGCTCTGGCATCTCAACCCCGAAGCTCCAATTCCAGCCGCATTGACGCCCCCAGCAATTTTTTTTTTCTGTATTCCGGGGGTCCAGTCAGCACTCAATTGCAGCGCCGCAGCGCAGCGCAGCGCATTGCAGCATCACTCCGCCCGCCGCCGGTCATCGGACCGCCCGAAAGCCTGCCTGTCCTTGTGACGTCCACAGACAGGTGGGAATCGATCCATGTCAGGCCAGGAAAATACCCACCGCCGCCGCGGCGCCGGGTTTCCTTAGAAGTGACCTCTCCGAGGTACTCCATCCGTCCGTGATAATCAGTCATATAATCACTCATAACCGGATTCTGGGCGGTTCTCGTATATCTGTATAAAGATATAAAAGGCAGACCGAGGAAGAGAGGCTCCCTTGCATTCATCAAAACTCGCGAGTTTAACAATCCAATTCATCGGTTGAGACATACACATACCGATCTCTAATCTCACTTGAACCTTTTTCTACCAGATCACCTTACTCATCTTGAACCTACACCTCTATCTACATTTACACATCTCTCTCACCTATACCTCTTGAATCACTCAAGTGAAGGAAACAGACAAGCCACCAAACAAGAAACCCCACGCAGGGACTCAAATGACAATCAAGATGTCAGACCAAGACACAACAGCGCACAAGCGCACCGCCTCCTCAACATCCGCAATCACAGCCGGCGCCTCGCCGCCCTCAAAACGGCCCGCCGCCGCCCCAGCCCCGGTGCCCCTGCGCCGCGACTTCCCCCACGCCGTCAACCTCGTCCTCTACAGAGACGGCGACGAGACGGGCTCCGCGACCACCGTCCTGGGCGTCTTCGCCGCGCTCGCCGACGCCAACGACGAAGTGCGCCGGCTCGCGGAGGAGCAGGGCGCCAAGCTCGACGAGAACGAGACCAACAGCGCGATTGCTGAGCCCGCGCGGTGGGAGGGCCCCGACGGCGCGAGCATCTGGGTCGAGGTGCACGGCGTCACGCCCAAGAAGATCGTGCCGAGGAAGGCGGAGCCCGCCGGGGAGCCGGTGAAGAAGCTCTATGATGCGGAGGAGGGCGAGGATCCTGACTTGGACGATGATGATGCTGATGAGGGGGGTCACTATGACTGAGCTGGAATGAAGTGTTGATCTTTTGCTGGTGTTTTTGGGTTTTTATGGCGTCCAAGGCTTTGAACTGGGGCAGGCTGGGCAAGCGGTTGGTGAGGGCCTTCTTGGGATATGATGATGGTCATCAACTAGGTTCCCGGCGTGATATTGGAAGCGGCCTCTGCTTTGTGAGACAGAGAGCTCACGAGGCTGCCGCGTTGTAACTGTAATACGGATGGGCGATTATAGATGTGGAAAACCTCCATTCTATCCATCTAGGTATCTAAGAATAGGAAATCTCTCTTCTAACACATCTTGCTCTAACGAATACCCCTCTCTACTGAGTCTGTGGTCTACACCCTTTTCTTACACGGTCTTCTAGGATTCCATGATTCTAGCACAGCAAAAGCTCTTACAGTCTACTGCGGCCAGGATATGTCTACAACTTGGCCTTGGGCTGCTCCTGCAACAGCATCTTCTCGGCAACGATGCGGCGCTGGATCTTGCCGGTGGCCGTCTTGGGCATCGTCTCGGTGAAGTAAATCTGCGGTATCTCGTTAGTCGATTGCTTATATGTAAACACGCCATCGCGTCTTTCTGCTGCAAACTCACCTTCTTGGGAACCTTGAACTTGGCAAGCTTCTCCGCAACCCAGCCCCTCAGCTCGTCCTGCTTCAACTGCTGTCCCTGCTTCAGGACGATGGCGACGCCAATGTCTTGGCCGTACATCTCGTCCGGGATCGCGAAGCTGACGGCCTCGGACACGGCCGGGTGGCGCGTGAGGACATTGTCGAGCTCGATGGGGCTGATCTTCTCGCCGCCCTTGTTGATGAGCTCCTTGATGCGGCCGGTGATGACGACGTAGCCGTCCTCGTCCTTCTTGCCCTGGTCGCCGGTGCGGAAGAAGCCGCCCTTGGTGTAGGACGAGGCGTTGGCGGCCTCGTTGTTGAGGTACCCCTTGGTGACGTTCTCGCCACGGATGCAGATCTCGCCCTCCTTGCCCTGCTCGAGCTCGTTGCCCTCGTCGTCGAGGATGCGCACGTCGACACCCTGGCCGAGGCCGACGGTGCCGGGCTTGCGCTTGGCGGGCGGGAGCGGGTTCGAGGTCATCTGGTGCGCGGCCTCGGTCATGGCGTAGGCCTCGAGGACGGGGGCCTTGTACGTCTCCTCGAGCTGGGCGAAGACGGTGGGGGAGAGCGGGGAGGAGCAGGAGCGGATGAAGCGGATCTGCGGGAGCGGGTTGGGCGTCGGGTTCTTGAGGAGGATCTGGTGGATGGTGGGCACGGCGGTGTACCAGTTGGCCTTGTGGGCGATGAAGTCCTGCCAGAATTCGGTGGCGGAGAACTTGGAGGGAACGACCATGGAGCCGCCGGTGGCCAGGGGGGCGAGGAGGCCGCAGAGGAGGCCGTGGACGTGGAAGAGGGGCATGACGAGCATCGTGCGGTCCGCGGAGGTGAGCTGATATGTGTTTTCGATGTTTTCTGTTGATGTTAGCGGGTGACGAGTTGAAGACTTCATGAGACTGAGAACTCACTCATCGTTCTGGTCAGGTTGCGGTGGGTGAGAGGGACCTGCTCACTATCAGCATCGATCGAACTATTCATCGAAAGCTCAGAAAAACTCACAACTTTGGGACGGGAGGTGGTTCCGCTGGTGTGAAGCACCAGCGCGACATCGTCCGGCTGCGCCTTCAGCACCTGTGTAGGTCCCTTGCCCTTGAGCTGTCCCAACTCCTTGACGTCAAGCGCAACCTCCTTCTTCGCCGCATCCCAGTACGTCTCCGCGACAGCGGCATTGAACTTCTGGGCGGCCTTCACGGCAGGTGCGCCGGCAGCGTACGCGCCCTTGGGCACGAGGACGATGGCAGACTTGACATCCTCGATGTAGAACTCGAACTCGTCCTGCTTGTAGGCCGGGTTCAGCGGGGCGGCGATGCCGCGCTGCCATGAGGCGGCCAGGAACGAGACGATGAACTCATACGAGTTGACGGTGGCGATGGAAACGGGGGAGGCGGTGGTGATGCCGATGGCTGCGAGCTTGCCCTGAAAGTTTGCGGTCTCGCGGACGAGGTCGCCGTAGGTTGCCGTCAGGGCGGTTGGCTTGGACGGGATGATGACGGCGGGCGAGTTGGCCGGGCCGTTGATTGCGGTTTGGAGAGTCAATGCCATGTTGAGCTAAGCCGTGCAACCTCTTTGGTCACTTGTATACAACAGTCCCGAGGTACCTTATTGGAGGAGGATTTCAGGGTGTGATGAATATGCGATGCGATGCGCGCCGGCAGTTCGGATTGTAACCACCACCACAAGCGAATTCGGAGAAGGTTCGGGGGGCTTGACAGAGACTGGACGAACGGGGTCTGCCTGAGTAGATGCAGAGTGCGCGAATAGGAATTAGATGTATCGACTACCAGCTGAGAGTCCAGACAGGGGAAATGAGTGCCGTTCAACGGTGAGGATGCAGATTGTGTTAAGTACAAGTCAATGTTTGAACATGTTCCGAGAAAAAACCACCACCACGCGCAAAGAACGATAAATGCTCGTCTGATAGGGAAGAGGAAACCTGGCTAGGACGATGATGTGCTCAGGACGCCAGCCCAGCCTGGGACAAGCCGGATTGCCCCGGTCCCATTTTGCCGTGTTCCATATGGACTGCCCAATGAAAGATACCCGCCTCCAGGTTTGTCTAGCAAAAGAGTGCCTTCAATGCCCCAGGAGAGACCGTGAATTGCGCGGCAAAGCTGGGCGCCGTGCCGCATCCCGCAGGGGGTGGGTTTCCAGTGGCCCAGTGGCCCCAGCGGTTCAGCGAGAGGCCTAAGGCGCTGAAACAGGGCACCCAGGCGGACGGGCCCGCAGCCATAACAGAACCTTGAAGCGCCTGCTGCACCTGCGCTCCGGGACCTTGATTCGGGTGGGTCTTTGCAGCAGCTCCCGTCAGCTTCAACTCCGCCTCGCGAACCAGGCTGAGGGCGACTTTGCATCTTCTTTGCGACGATTGAGATAGCTCCAGTCAACCTGCACAAACGACGACCGCACGCGCCACATCACTTTTGAAAGACATCCATCTAGCTCGTCAACCTCTCCTACAGCTTCCAAACCCTCAATCGCGCGCTCAATGGCAGCGCCGCCTCCTCCGCCTCCCCCCGCGCGAGGCGGACTGTCTCTCTACGCAAACCTCCTCGACCCGGCCGCCGATTCCTCCTCCGCGACGATATCCAGCGCGCCAGTCCGCTACAACCAAGATGCCTCCTCAGGCGACGCCAAGGATGAAACAGCGGCGAAGAAGCTTATAGACCCATGTAAATCTCACCACTTTTCATCACCCCCTTCTGCCTCTCAACTTACAAACCCGCCTAGCCCTGCGCTTCCAACCCATCCGCCGCCCGCAAGTCAAATCCTCGAAGCCAGCGAAACCGACGTTCCCAAAACAAATCCCAGGCGCGACCCCGTCCTCGACAGCAGCAACAACAGCAGCAGCAGCAGCGGCTCCCGCCCCGCCGCTGAAGACTACCCTCGCAGACTGGACCGCGACGACGGAAGACGACGACTTCCGCTACGGCGGGCCCCCGGACCGCTCCCACCAGCGCGGCGGCCGCCGGAAGAAGAAGAAGAAGAACCACGACCAGCACGTCGAGACGAACTGGGACGACATCTACGATCCCTCCAAGCCCACAAACGTCGAGGAGTACCTCCGCAGCGACGAGCGCATCCGCGAGGTCCAGGAGTGGAAGCGGCTTCTGTACCGTCACCGCCGCGGGAGGAGCGTCAGCGACGACAGCGACGAGGAGGACGCCCGGCCAGCGACGAGTGAGTTCCTCGCGGCTTCAAAAAGAAGCGTATGCGTGCGGAAAAGGCTAACATCTGTGAACCGTTCAAGACCAGTTCGCCCCGCCCGCAGAATACTCCTTCGTGCCACCTCCCCCAGCCTCACCACCACCGCCACCAGCAGCCTCAGCAGCAGCTCCGCCCCCCGACGACGCAACAGGCGACGACGCCTACGCCCGCCGCCTCGCACTGTCCTCCTCGAACCCCCCTCCGCCCCCGCCGCCGGCAGACGAAGCAACAATCTCCCGCGCACCCGTCCGCTACACCCGCCAGGAACCCTCCAGATCCGCCTCCGCCTCCCCGCCGCCGACTCTCGGCCTCGGCGCCTCCTCCACAGCAGCAGCCCCAGACGAAGACGCCGACGCCCCGCGCTCCAACCGCCCAGGCCAAGCCGGCTTCGCCCAGCGCCTCATGTCCAAGTACGGCTGGACAAAGGGCTCCGGCCTCGGCGCCGACGAGGGCGGCATTGTCAACCCGCTGCGCGTGCAGGTCGAGAAGCGCAAGAAGAAGTCCGACGTCGAGGGCGGCGGCTGGGCCGAGCCCGCCAACCGCGCCAAGATCCTCGGCGGCAGACGCAAGGACGCGGAGGGCGAGGGCGGCGGCAAGTTCGGCGGGCCCATGAGCGAGGTCATCGTCCTCCAGCACATGCTGGACAACATGGAGGACCTGCAGGGCGAGATTGCCAACGGGCTGGGACAGGAGATTGGCGAGGAGTGCGGCGAAAAGGTGAGAGAAGAGCAGCACCCACACGCCCTTTTGCAGGTTAGCTGGCAAGTTTGTGTTGACTTACTAACACCAACCCGTAGTACGGCCGTGTGGAGCGATTGTACATCGACGTCGAGAACCGGCAGGTCTTCATTCGATTCACCGATCAAGTATCTGCGCTTCGTGTAAGTCCAAAGCCCTACCTGGTCTGGGCTTGTATGAGTAGACAGGCGCTGACACTCTCACCGCAGGCTGTAAACGAACTTGACGGGCGCATTTTCAACGGCAATACCGTGATACCCAAGTTCTACGACACGGCCAAGTTTGAGCAGGGCATATATCGATAGTTTGCGCCGTAGCTCTGGCCATGACACTTTACTGTATATAATTCGGCGCAGGAACTATTGAAGTTAGTCAAGGGCCTCGAATAATCTCACGTGTTAGGCGCCACCGCGTGCCACCATATGATTTTCACTGGCAGCTTATGCTTAATTCATGACGAATGTCACCGGAAGGTCGTGTCACAAGAAGGGAACAAGTAGACAAAGTAAAGGTATACACATCATGGATCCTCAATACACTACAACCCTCTCTATCTTCGTTGCCTAACCGCCTCCGTATCGCATCAATCTCACGCCTCCGTCCACCACGAATCTTCCATTCCGCCTCCCGTATCCGGCCACTGTCATCCAAGCACTCGGCATGCCACCCGACCAAGCCGTACTATTCCCAAGAAAGTCCGGACGGGATGATGAGCGCACCATGGTCGAGGCCGAGCGCTATGGTGGAGAGGACGTAACGGAATGCCCTGTGCTTTTGGTTCGTCACGCAAAGGGAGTGAAAAGTCGACGAGGGTATTCCGTACCCGCCGTCCGGTATTAAGTCTAGAGGTTTTCCTATACGTAGGAGATTCCCAGTCTAGGGAATGCGTGGGGTGTCGCAAGCTGTTAAAACAGAATTGGACTTAAAGAAATTGCACAAACATTGAAAGATGTATGGAGAACGCCACCATTATCCGAACCCTATCCCAGTGACAGTCGTTTACAACAGAAGCTGAGCCAGACCGCCAACAATGGCCAGGGAAAGGACAGCGGTGTTGACAGAGACGACGCCAGCAGCACCCTCAGAGCCGCCGGACTTGGTGCCACCGGCGCTGCCGCCAGTGCCGGAGTCGGAGTTGGCGTTGGTGTTGTTGCTGCGGCAGGTGTACTCGCCCTGGATCTGCTTGCCCTCCATCTTGTTGAAGACGTCGCAAGAGGTGTCGATATCACCAGTGGACTGGAGGTCGAAGGCACCCTTGACGTCGTCGAGAGCGGGGATAGAGACCCTGAGAGACTGTTAGTAATGATAAAAGCTTAATAGCGCAGACAAGACTTACTCAGAAAAGTTACCGCGGAGAAGGACAGCACCGCCAATCTGCTCGAGCTTGGGGAGACCGTCGATCTTCTGGAGGAGGGTGTTGTTCTGGATGGTGAGACCACCGCCGGTCTTGGTGAGGAGGGGCAGGGAGAGGTTGGCGAGCTCGACGTTGTTGATGAAGGAGACATCACCGTCGCTGCACTGGGTCAAGTTGGGGGCGATGAACTCGGTGAAGGTGTTCTTGTCGAACTTGATGGAAGAGTTGACAACCTCGAGAGAGGGCATCTCAACCTTGGCGGCATCGGCAATAATAATCTCGTTGGCCCAGATAAGGTTGGGGAGAGTAATTCCCAAGTCGGCACCGTTGGAGTTGATCTCGATGGTCTTGGTAGCGTTGGCCAGCTGGTTGCTGTAGGAGACCAGGTTCTTGTTGTTGTTGATGTGGAGCTCATCGACGGAGGCAACGTTCAGGCCGTCCAGAGACTTGAGGAAGGTGTCGCTGATGACGATGTTGTTAACCTTGGTGACACCAGCGGTTCCGAAGACGAGGGAGCCGAGAGCGGGCAGGGTGATCCAGCTGATGGAGCCGACGGTAGCAAGCTGGGTGAAGCGGAGGTCGGACAGGAGGGTCAGGCCCTGCATGGTGAAGCTGCCCTCGATGGTGGCGAGCGAGGAGGAGGAAAGGCCGACAAGGTTGGTAGCGTTCGTAACGATCAGGTCGCCCTTGATGGTCTTGGGACCGTTGATATCAATGTTACCAGAGATATCCTCGGAGATCTTGACGGAGCCCTGGATCGTGGTGCAGGGGATGTTGGTGGCCATGGCAGCATCGGTGACGGTGACCGTCGCTGAGGAGCAGATGTTGCTGCTCTGGGCTGTGATCGCGGGTTAGTCCATGGTGTTCGCGGCGAAAGCGCAGTTGTGATCAACTTACCGGAGGCGAGGCCAGCACCCAGGGCCGCGAGGGCGGGGATGAGCTTGGATTGCATTGTGATTGATTTCTGAGCGCTGAGGGAGTCGGGGTCAGCAGATTATTCGAGAGCAACGGCTCGCGGTGATAGTTGAAGCGGAATGATAATGAAAGCGTTGATTTGTTTGGGGGGCGGTCGACGCGGTCTGCTCCAAGTCGATAACTCTGAAGCTGCGGTCCAAAAAGCGCGACGATTGTTGAAGAGAAGTTGAGAAGGGAGGAAGAGAGTGAATCAGGCGTGCCAATCCAGGTTGGAAGTGGACTGGATGGAGCTGGGGCTTGGGGTGTGTTTCTGTTGTGTTTCCGAGGGGAG